GTCCTGTTATTGCAGGAGCCTTTTTCTCTATCTTTTTAGTGCAAGCCAGACTCTCCCTGCCATTTTTGCAGAGGGAAACTATGAAAGGTGAAATAATTACAGTGTAAGGTTTCTAAAGCCAGAACACTGATCAGAAAGTCCATAATATTTTTTAATTTCATTATTTCTTAATATTTGGAGTTAACTGTGGCTGGAAACATAAGTCTCATAATGATGAATCAAATGAGCAATTGCTTTGTTCAGAGTACCAGAAGAAACCAGGGAGTAGCACATCCCTCAGAGCACTCAGCTATAATGTAAAGTTTGTGTACTGAGTGAAGATAAATGCTTAGGAGATGATCCAACATACCACACCAAAGGAGGGAACCAGCTGAGGGTCTTCATTTCCCTCCAGGCCCTGTGATAAATCTATGATGTATCTACAGTTTCACTTGGAAACTGAGAGATGTCTGATTGCTTTAAAGTTGGACGAGTCCACAGAAAACAATTCACAGAGTGTCTTTGTGTGGGGAAGGGAGTTAGCAGGGTGCAGTACAGGACTCACCCAACTCTTGGTGTGGGTAGGTGAAATGCATTTCTGTTGTGGAACCGGGCATTTTCCAGTTATTTCCACCTTAGCTATAACCTTATCATGAGAAATATGAACCCATTTAAACTAGATACAGAAAGGGAAAAAAGTTCTGGTGGTGTTGCCCTTTCTCAGAGCATTTTGCACATTTTCCACTGTTCTTTTGGAAAGGTAGGGCTCTCTCCCAGTGCTGTGCCTCCTGCTATGCAGGGTGTTTGAAACTGAGGGGTCTTCAGGGTGGAAAAGGTAGGCAGAAAGAATGTTATTTTTCTAATACTGTGCAAACCGATAGCAAACTGACAATCAGACTGACTCTGGTCAGGGTTGTAAACCTGGAGATCTTCCTTCTCTGCTCTCTGTGACTTCCTTGGCTGCTTGCAAAGACCCACAAGCTGGAATCTCACCATCATCCCAGCATCCTCCCAAGGATATTTTAGGAGCAGCAGCTCACAGTATTTACAGCATTGCATAATGCTCCAGCAGCAGCAATTCAATCCTATTTGGGATTCAGCCAATGTTTGTTGTCCTCCTTGGAAATGGTATTGATTATTGGAGCTCAGGAGCCAATTATGGCCACTGTGATAGTCAGCACCTCACATGCCAGGGTGATGTGCTGGAGAGACTCCTCTCCTTCAGCTGTGGCTGCCAGTGAGGCTCTGGACAGGCTCCATACCTTGTAAATCATCTGTGCTGTGAATAAGCAGTTACTCACATGCTAAATGTTATTGGACATGCTGCCTGGGTTTAGTTTGCACAGGGCCTGGCATTAATTTGGTACCTGTGCCAATGGAGAGCAGCCCCACAGGCTTTTGGAGACCAGCAGCACTTGGTACCCAGGGAAAATCATCCTGGACTATCACAATGATCATTTGTTGTTGAGGCTGGTGGTGTTCCATGCCAGAGACCATGGATGGAATAACAGCTTGAGTCTGGAATCCTGCTCTTCCAGACTGTGGTAGGTGTCATGTTGGACAGCAAATGATGGTTATGGAGCCTGCAGGCAGCTGAGCTGCTCCTGGTGCCTTCTGCAAAGCCTTACACAGCAAAACCAGAACAATCTTAAGGCTTCATCCCAATGAAAGGTCAAAATGAAAACCCTGATTATAATAAACAAAGCCCAAATCTCTGAAGTCTTTCTCAGCCAGAGTTGAGGTGTCCCCCATAATCAGAAGTGGGAGTGACTGCACTCTGATAAACCAAGAGGATCCTGAGAGCCCAGCAGAGAGATTTCTGCCCAATGGAAGGACAAGGGATGTGGCCATGCTGAAGCTGGGGGTATCTGGAGCTCTGTTCTCCTGTGGGGAAAGTGGTGGTGATGGAATTGAATTCCATCCATTCCAATGAAGTTGGTCCTGGAATGTGGCAATTCCTCATTTTGCTCTTTATTTATTGCCTTACTCTGCCTGAGGCTGTGCTGATGTTACAGCTGGTGTTCTCAGCTCTCTTTGGGTTTACAGCATTCAACAGCTTCCTGGGCAAAGCACCATCCCACATGCCTTATTTAATGCTATTTGGATGAATTTGGTGAGCCTTCATCCTAGGTTTGTTTCATTTAAATTTGGGCTGTACTTTTCTGTCTGGCTGCCTAGTGGAAACAGTGTCCAAAATTGATATTTCAATCACTTCCTATATATTTTTCCAAGTTAATTGAATCATGAGAAGCAGGTTACTTATGCAAATGCAATGGCCCTTGTCATACTTCATAGGGCCTGTTAAACACCTAAACCCAGAAACTATTAACACTTCCCAGTAGTTACAACAGCAATGAGCAAATCAGCCTTCCTTCCCCCTGAGGAAGAGCTTGATGGGGTCTTCTTGGGGCAGCTCATCCAGCACAGCTGCTGCTGGAGTGGAATGGGAAAATGCCTCTGTCCACCACAAAACACTGCATCTTCCATCACATCCCTGGCCCAAAATTGTGTTTAAACTGGTGTTTAATGAATTGCAGTCCTTATCACCTGTACAAAGCAGGAATATCATCTCCTCTGTATAGAGCAGGGAATGAGCTGTGATCTCCCTGCCAGGAGTGAGCCATTAGTGGGCTTGGGCACACCTGGATGTGCCTGCTGCAGGTGGGATCCCTTGGTGAGAACAGGACCCTGGCACGTTTGTAGCTCAGCAGAAGTTGTTTTGAGCTCCAGCTTCTCCATGGCAGATGATGCAGAAAGCTTGGGTTTGGAAGTGATGCAAAAAACTGATGAGAAAATGATATTTTGCTGCAATAATTTGCTTCAAGCACCTTGCACAGATCTCTCTGACATAACATACTGTTGATTAATGCACAAACTTACCTCCTCTCCCTGGTGTCTAGTTTTCATTCCACATAAGCTCTGATTATTAAAAAAGAAACATTGGTTTATGAGGCTAAACATCAAAATGCAGAAGCAGAAGCCTCAGCGTCCCCACTGTTTGCAGTGTGTATGCTCAGGGTTGTTTTTATGCTACACACAATTGAGGTTATTGAAGAGAGCAAAATGTGTTTGTTATTCAGATCATTTTGGGTTTGCAGTGCTGTCAGTGTCTCAGGGAAGGGATGCCTGAGGATTCAGAGAGGGTGAGGTTAGGAATTTATTACAGGGTGTCTGGGGCTGTACAGAAACAACTCCCAAAGGTCTCATTGAAGGAGAAAGAAAGGATGGAGGAGCCAGGAGTGTGTGGACATGGAGACATGCAAGCACTTGCCTGAAGTGCCAGAGTGCTGCTGCAGGAGCAGCAATGCTGGGCTCTGTTTTCAGACTCCTGCGCTGCATCTCACCTCTGAGCTGAGTGTTGCCTCCCTGGCATGCCTGCTGTGGCCTTGCTGGCTGGATCTGCATCTGAAATCAAGTTCCTTACCCCAGGTAGATTTAGCTGGGATTTGTTACTCTGGATCTGAACTGTTTGTTTCTATAATTTACCCCCAAAAGGATAAAAAATCCAGAGAATCCTAGAGCAGTGGATGCCTTCATTCCAGAGTCTGCATCTGCTTTTCTGGGCTGTTAATACATTAGGGTTTTTTAAAACAGTTAATAATTTGTATTAAATTGTTTAGCTGCAGATTTTTAACTACTTAACCACAACAGATTAGAAGCAAGTGGAATGGGATTATTCTTTGTATTTTCCATTTCCAAAGTAATTTGTGTTATCTTTGCACTATTATTGCTTACTTTGTAATCCCTAGTACATGTGTTACACCATCCATCCCTTGCAGAGCTGTGTGGTTCTTGCTTTAGAGATGGAGGCAGGAGCCCACAGATGCACAGGGTGCCTGCTCTGCATCTTCAAAGACCAGGGATAGTGCCCAGGCTGCTCTGCCAACCTCCATCTCCAGTGCAGGAGTACAAAATCTGGGTTTAGATTAGAGTGGGAAAATGGAAACAAAAGAGGCCAGAACAGCTTGAGTTAAATGTTCGGAGAAATTGTATGATAGAGATTCAAGTCCAAGACCACTGTGCTGCTTTGAAAAATAAACCACCTGGAGAATCCTCATGGAATTACCTTGACAGAGATTTCAGGTTGGAGTTACAATTTAATAGAAAGATTGCAATAAATGCAATGATACACAGAAGAATGGCACAAAGAGTACAGCCTGTTGGTCAGGGTGCTGATCACAGTCCTGTCAAATGATGGTTGCAGTCAAAAGCCATGTTCCTGTGGAAGTTCTGGTCCTCCTCTGGATCCATCCAGTGGTGGTGGTGATGTTGAGATTCTGTAGCTCAGGTTCAGGCAGGAATGCTCAGCGCCTCCCCCAGGGTGGGGAGCTTCACAATGGAATGATGTAATAATGTGAGTCATGGATATTTTGGGGATTTCTTGATGGTCCAAGTTACAAATCCTATTCTGGTGGTGCCCATTATGGTCCATTAGCAGAGATGACCCACTTCAGGTTGGGTGTGACTGTGCTGGTGCTTCCCCAAAGGGGAGTTACCACAGCTGAGTGATTGGTGTGAGAAGAAACACTACCCTGTATTGAAGGGTTTGCTTCTTCTCCCTTTTCTAATTTAACACCCAATTTGTGGCCTGGGCTGTCAGGTGAGGGATGGGCAGCTCCTGCAATGGACAGTTTGTCAGGAATGATGTGGAGGGGAGTAGAATACACAGTTTGTTTAGACCCACATTGTCACTCTCCTTTTGTAACCACACAACCACCACAGGCTGTTTCCACTTGGGAAGGTCAACAGAATTGGTCACTGGCATCCAAGTGAATTGCTGAGTTCTCTGTGTTGTCCTTGACAATCTGTGTGAGTCCTGCCATGGAAATTGATGTAATCAGCACATGAAGGAGTGTCACAGTATGAACTGTGGAGCAGCGTGGGAGGGCCAGGAGGTTGGGATAAGGGGGCTTTTCTCACTCCTTGCACTGAGGTCTGTGCTAAGCTCATACTGGCACATGGTGGGCCTGTCTCTCTCTGCCTCTAAACCAAACCTCTGTATTCCCCTTGTGTCTCTGCAGAACTTCCTTCCTCGGAACACTTGAGCGTGGCTGATGCAACATGGCTTGCCCTCAACGTGGTGTCTGGTGGAGGAGGCTTCTCCAGCTCCCAGCCCATCGGAGTGACCAAAATTGCCAAGTCAGTCATAGCACCCCTAGCTGACCAAAACATCTCAGTGTTCATGCTCTCCACCTATCAGACAGACTTCATCCTGGTAAGAGCACATGAGGGGACCAGGCAGAGTTATCTCAGTTGGGCAATTCTGGGAACAGGTTATCTGTCAACTGACAATTGACAGTTGTCAGACTTGACAGTTCTGTTGAGTTGTCTGGGAGTGGCAGAAGTACCAAAGTTCTGCTTCCCCCAGAGCTCTGTTCCTTGCAGTCAGGCCCTCTGGCATCTCAGAAGTTTTTGCCATGGGATGAAGCATTTTTTGTCATGTGTTGTCTGGTGACTAATGAATGCTGAGCCCCCACAGCGGTCTCTCCTGAAATGGAGATACTGGCAGCACTTCCCACCATCACTCAGACATTGGTTTTCTGAACGTTAGAAGAATGTAGTGTCTGCTGTCAGGTTGGCTGATGATGGCCAAGAGGCTCCAAAGTTGTTTTGGTTATAGACAGACAGACTTTCTGTCTCACATACATGTGTGTGCCTGCACACAGGGCATACCCTTATTTCCTGAGGAAACAAGACTGAAGAACAGGCAGTGCTGAGCTGTTTCAGCAATGCTGGAAAAGAGGTGAAGCATCTCCCCCTTAGAAATCTCCACATTCTTTTTACAGTCATAAAAGCACTGTGGTGCTTAATTCTACTGATACTGCCAGTGATATCACCCAGTGTGCTCCTCTTAAGATACACCTAAATGGTAACTCAAG